CCGAGCCGCGCCGCCTCTGCCCGCCGCGGGGCGGGGCGCAGCCGGCTCCTCCGCCCCGGCACCGGCCTGAGCTCCGCCCGCGTGTCCCTGACCCTTCCCCGCGCGCCCGCACGCGGACAGCTCCCAGCCCAAGGGCTGCTTCGCAAGGCTTCTCCTCGCCGTCCCTGGACAAGAGGCGCTTCCCTTCCCTCTGGAGCACAGGCCCTTTCCAGGGGCCCGCAGCCCAAGTAGTTTTAAAGCGGAGTTTGGTAAATGTCCGAGTCGTGTTCATGGGCAGGGAGCGGGGTGGCACTGGCGGCGACCCGGGAGGCGCTCTGTGCAAGCAGCCGCGCTGTCCATGGGGAACAGCAGGGTTTCTGTGCTGCGGTGGGGGTCACACACATACTGTACGGCCTGTCCTGGGTTTCTCTAGTTGACCTGGATGGCAGCAACATAAACCTCAGCCTGAGATTTTGTTCCTAGGGCTTTTACAGACAAGTTCCCGCCCATCTCCATCCCTAGTTTTCCTTCTGCCTGGCAGGATCCCCAAATCTTGTTATAATCCCAGACTGGGAATGTTATACCCCAGTTCTGGCTGCTACAATGAGTCCACTGCTGCTAAAAGGAGTCCACCTTCACCTCTCTGTGCAACTTCCTCTCTTGTGGCAGGCTATTGCATGTACGTGCAGAAGTATTGCAGACAGACTGGTTCCACCGCGCATCGGAGAGGAATGGCTGCAGCCTCCTACGTAGCTGGAGATGGAGAAAAGGAATTATGCATTTCAGTTCCTACTTGAGATCCCAACCCTACTCTGAGAGCCCTGTGGGTGAAGGAGGGCACCTATGGGATTTTTCTCTGTAGGATAAAGAGCTTGGGAGCCATGATGAAGTCTGAGGTAGTTGTCTTGGCAAAGAACAGATTCATGCTTCCTCCCACCTCCCCCACACTGAATTTGCACATATTCCCACTGTTAATTCAGGTTAGGTTTTAGTTACATACATATATACATATATGTACACACATGCGGGCTCTGTCATATATAGTTACACACCTTCCCCCTGCCTGGCAGTTTGTCTGCTAAGCTCTCGGGGCAGAGACCGTCCCCGTTTTGATGTCTGAAAACAGCTAGGTGCACTGTGGGTACTGCTGAAAACAAATGAAGATCCTGTGATTTTAAAGATGTGAACATGTTTAGTTTAAAATTTGGTCTGTCCCACAAAGGTATTTATACACATGTCTCCAGCAAGGGGTATTTGCATGAATTATTGGGAAGGATTCTGCCATTTAGGAGTTGCTTGTCGTTCCATCTTTAAACAATTCTTTGCAGGCTGTGCTTCGTATAACTCATCCTCTTACATTAAGGTTTTCCTTAGGTTTTTTGCCTTAAAATCTGTTAACACTACTAATAGTTCACAGTGCAGGAGACAAGACATTGATCGTTTTGGCTACTGCATTGTTTCATCCTGCTCTGAGTAGGATGAGAGATGGTGTTTACTGTATGTATATATATATAATTTCATTCATTCTCTCATTCACAGTAGAGAACCCTATGTCTAGATCTGTTGTGAAGAAGATGTAGAGTGAGATTTAATCAAGACAGCAATGTCATTATAGCTGAACCTACTTCTTCATCTCCTCCAGCACCAGTACACTGAGAGAGGGGAATGCTGGACAGAGAATCACACAAGTCCAGGTATGAGAACAGCAGGTGAGCAGTTTTCTTCTCTAACTCTATGGGATCTCTCACCAGGGGAGAAAAAGAAATCACTGCAGGACAGCCTAGTCCAACTCTGTCAGGGAGATTGTGGTGAAAGGGGCCTTGGGAAGAAGGGGTTACGCCTGAATAAAGAAATGGCCTAAATATAAAAACAGTGATATTAAAATGGCTTCTCTTGGACGTCATTAATATGAGACTATTGAAACTGAGCACATCATAGACGTTCACGTTCCTCATTTCTGCTGCACTGACCAGTTCCATGTTTACTGTCCCCCTAGCTTCTCATCTTGTGCCCCCCATGCTAGCAGGGTGCTGCGGAGGTGGAGGTGGCAGCATATCAGTGATCTTTACCATTAGGCAGACTAGTTTTGTTTTGTTTTCTTTTTTTTCTTAGAATTAGAAAAAGGTAACATTGAAGCCTAAACTGCTTGATAATGTAACTTTAAATTACATTTCTAATAAACCATTGAGTATTTTACAAATACTATTTAAAAATAGCTTTTCCATGTTGGAACATTGAAGTCTGTATTTCTTGCTTTTTACCTGGTTTTATATATCTATGATTAATTTGCATTATTAACTACATCCTTGAAATAGCTTGTGATGCACCCTTTAAGAATTCTACAATTAATCGCATTTATCCTCTGTGGATAAATACCCTTCATTCACCAGTATATGAAGTTTGCTACAGAAATCTATAGCCTGGAGCTTTTCAGAGAAAAGAAAACACACTGAGGACTTAGTTTTGGTTTAGCACAGATTTGGTGAGAGTAACTCAGACAAACTCAGTGGATTATACCTAGATTATATGCGTGTGGCAAGGTTCAGAATCAGGCCTAACACTGAAATCTGTGGAGCTGTGATTTAATGCAGAAACTGAGCGCCAAATCGGACACAAATTTGGTAATAAAATTACTTTCCATTTGCATGCTGCCTTTCACAGAAGGCACTTATAGTGCTCAGCAGATGTACATATAGTTTTGCAAGATGCTTGTGAGAGTAGCAAGTGAAGAGAGGCAAGGTTCTCTGTGTATGTTGGCTGTGATCCCCCAGGAGCATGCACTAGCCAGGGAAGGCTGGAGCACATTACACTGAATTGCTACCCCTCCCCACCGCTACCAGAGGCTATGGAAAGGGAGGCATAGGAGCCTGGGTTGCCCTCCGGGCTCTTGGACTTGTGGAGTGCTTTCACTTTTCTTGCACCTTGGCCTGCTATTATTATTCCCCCACAGATCTCATAAATGTATCTGTCTCCTCTGTCATAACACCTGGCAGGACTGTTTAACTGGTGGCCTGTGGACCACATGCAGCCTGAGAAGGGTTAAACTGCAGCCCTCAAGCTCTTAGCTTCCCACATCTCTGGGCTCCCCCTTCCTCTTCTAGCTGCCACTTCCTGCCATCGCCCCAGGAGGTAAGGCAGTGTGGTGCACTATAGGGAGCTGATGGTGAGTCCAGGCTGTGCTGGGTGGGTGGGATGATGCCTCTGTGGTGTAACAGAGGTAGGTGGGGGTGGGGGAGCAGCACAGTGGGAGAAAAAGTGCCCATGAGCATGCACGTTGCAATGGGAGGAGGAGAACGGTGCCTGCATGCCCACAGGGTGCAGCAGTAGGAAGGGTGCCCATGCGGGCCTATGGAGTAGTGATGGTGGGAGGCATCCATACAGCTCATAAGGTGAGGCCCCCATTGTTGTGGCCCCCAGGGGCTTAGAAGTTAGACAGTCCTGACATAGGGTCAGGACTGAGCCCAGCTCTCCAGCTCTCACTTCTGTGCCTTTATCGCAGGACTGCCTTTCCTCAGTGAGAGCAGCTGGCATCGTCATTTGGAAAGCAGGCTCTTTAAAACTGTGAGACTCTCAAGCAGGTGTCTTACTGTTGGGTCTTACAGTGTCTGTATAGACAAGTACCTATAATAACAATTTCCCATGCTAGAATTCGTGCTGTTGATACAGATTCATAGTTAGGTCAGGAACGATGTTGTTATGAACTAGAGTAATAATGATTGTGGCATTGTGGACTTTATGTACAAATCCTTGCAATCTGCCTGAGTTAGATTAGGACCGGGAAAGGTTACTCTCTCTAGAGCTGCTATCTTTCTGCTATAAACTTTCTATCTATAATAAAGTGCTGAATCAAGAGATAAACATTACTTTAGGCAACAGCCTGTGAACAAAACGCATTTATCTTTATACTAAAATAATTCTGAGTTAATCTTGTTAAAGATTAAACCCAGCATAGTACAAACTGCATGGCAGATCCAAACGTGTAATTTAGATGGTAATTTAGTAATTTAATTTAAACAGAAAGATTCAGTATTTGATTTCTACTGAAAGAAAAATATCTAAAAACCTTCCAGTGCAGCTAACCAGAGGGTGGCAGTGTTCAACTCAACATTCAGTTGCTTCTAGAAATAAAACTCTATAGTTGTGCTGCTTCCTACTCGTAACCATTAAAAGGTAAAATCAACATCCGTTTGGAGCAGAAGTGTAAGCCAGTCCACAGGTCAGTCTAATAATTGGAAATGTCAAACTTGCAATGAGGGACAATATTAAATAGAATTGGTACTAAATAACGAATAAATAGACAGATGTCAGAAACGAGGATGAAGATTGAATTGAGTACGGGCACGTTAGGGCATCTGGGAAGAGAGTCCTGTAATTCTGAATCACCTTATTTTAAAATTAATACCATAGTAATGCTTAGCATTTATACAGCACATTGCACGTTCAGAGCATTGATGTGATCTATCCCAGATCTATGCCCTTCGCATATTTTGGCTTCTCAATTACAGCCTCTGCCTTTCCCAAATGCCTACTAATGCTGTCCACTTCACCTTCCCCCACTGCCTCTTCCCTAAGCTCCCCCCAAAAAATCAGGCCTTATCTACACACCCTACTTGCACAACTTTAGCTTAATTGGATTTTAAACCAGTTATTCTGGTGTAAACCCTTCTTTTTTTGGTTATTTATTTGGTTTCAATCTGTTCCTCATTGTTTTAAGTTAAGCTGAAATGAGGCTGGTTCTAAACTGAAATGGGCCTGTCTACCTAGCCGCCTTCACTGGTTATCTAAATCAGTTTAAAATTACATCTTAAATTAAACC